TATTTTATATTGAATAATTTTTTTGCTTATATAGTATATTGCTTGTTCTATTTTATCTACCTCTTGCGCGAGCATGGCTCCTGTGGTCCTTTCCATGACAGTGATATAAATTCTAAGAGGTAGTTTGAGTACTGGTGGTGCTAAAACTGGAGGACTTTTGAGATAACTTTTTACTTTCTCAAAGGCCTCTTGGCATTGGTCGTCCCATTCATATTTTTCTTCTGTTTTCAATTTTTTGAATATTGGCTCTCAAGTCATTGTCAACTTACTAATGAATCGACTAATGTACTGTAATTTGCCAATAAACCCCCTAATTTGTTTTTCTGTTTTTAGGGGAGGCATGTCAATAATTGTCTTTATTTTTGAGGGATCGATCTCAATGCCACATGTGCTTACTACGTATCCGAGTAACTTGCCGGAAGTTACTCTGAAAGCGCATTTTTGTGGGTTCAATCTCATCTTGTACTCTTTTATTCGAGTAAAGAATTTGCGTAAAGCTTTTACATGACCCATTCTATCTTTGAATTTTACGATTATATAATCCACATATACCTCTATTTCTTTGTGCATCGTATCATGCAAGAGAGTCGTAACCGTTCTTTGGTACATAGCTCCTGCATTTTTAAGACCAAATGGCATGACTGTGTAGCAATAAGTACCCCAAGAGGTAATAAAGCATGTCTTTTCTTCATCTTCTTTTGCCTTTAGAATTTGGTTGTAAGTTGCGTATCCATCCATGAAGGATAACATCGCATGTTCAGTCGTATTATCCACCAATATATCAATATGTGGTAGAGGGAAATCGTCTTTGGGACTAGCTTTGTTGAGGTCCCTAAATTCGACACACATGCGAACTCGTCCATCCTTTTTAGGGTCTGCGACGATGTTCGCTACCCATTCGGGGCAATTACTTACGCGAATGAAACCTGCGTCCAACTGTTTTTGTACTTATTTTATTTTTAAAGCAATGTCGGGTTTCATTCGTTCAAGTTTTTGTTTTACTGGTTTAGACATAGGGTTCAAAGGAATGGTATGTTCCGCAATTTCCTTATATATTCTAGGTATGTCCTTGTATGAATAAGCAAACATGTCTTCGAATTCTTTAAGCATCGATATGAGATTCGATTGCTCTTCCGATTTTAAGGTTAAGCCAATTTTGAAGTCTTTCTTGTTTTCATTTGTTCCAATATTGATTGTTTCGATTTCTTCGATCACAAGATTCTTTTGTTCTCGTTCATTCATTAATTTATTCAATTTATTAATGTCAACATTCTTGTTAAATTGATTATTGTAACATTCAAAAGATTCAAGAGAAGGCATATACTAGAAAATAGAGCTCATATTATTGAAATCAAAAGAAGTAAATCAAGAGAGGAATCCTTTTTGGGATCCTCGTCCTTAGAACCAGAAAGTAAAGACTCAGTAATGGCTACAAGGCCTAAATTCTCAGCTTCCTTAAAATCTAAACTAGACTCGTCGTCGGATTCTTTAAACATTTGTCCTTTGCCTGTGGTGATTTCCAGCTTGTCACCCTTGTGGTTAGTCCACTTGAAGGTCTTTCTCCATCCATGCTAGAATGTATTATTGGAAGGGGTGATCAATGAAGTAGGGTCGAAAGCTTTGTCTTGGATGGCATTTTGATCGGTTATGATAGCAACATGGTTTTGCTCTAGTCCAAATAGCAAGTTAAAGGCTTTCCTATCATAGCACCCTGAAGTTGGGTGTTTTGATTGAGTGATGTTTAAGTTATCATTCAAGTAGTAGAAATTGTGAAAAATCTCAAATCCAGGCTTCTTAATACCTTCAAAAACTAGTGGTTCTGGAAAGTTATAGCATGGGTAATTCTCCCCTTCCTTAATGAATTGCCCATTAAGGGTTTGATTGTAAGATGGGAGTAAGGAAATTATCCCTTTCTTATTGTTGCTCCAACGTGCCCTTACTTGGAATCGTGAGCTTCGAGTTTTTCCTTAGTTGGTTTATATCTCAAACCAAAGGAGAAGCTTTTGTTTGGGATAGGAAGTAAGATAGGTTTCTTCATTCCTATACCCAAAGGTATCCCAGGAAAGTAACTACTCTTAAATAAGATGATATTAACTATTGGGGTGGAATATGGATCATGTTTAAAAGGTACTTCAATATCTTCATCCATTTCTAGTGTGCAGATAGCCTCTGCGGCGAATCCCCGCATATCTTCTTCATCATTGTCATGATTTATCTCTAAAAGAGATTGATCGTTTATTGCGACTTTTAGAGGAGAAGCATGTATAGTCATAGGAAGACCTTGATAGTTCAACCTAATCATTTGATGGATCGAAGATGGTATTGCTCCAAGTTCATGTATCCAAGGACGTCCAAGAGGAAGGTTGAATGTAGGTTTTATGTCCATGACATGGAGTTCAACCATCTTTTGTATTGGGCTTGTGGTAATTGGTAGCTTAACAGTTCCACACACCGATCTCCTTGAATTATTGTAGGCCCTAATGCTTTGTGTTGTTGCATGAAAATCTTTTTCTGGGTCTAGGCCTAGATATTTTGCGGTTCGTAATGGGCACACATTGACGGCGGACCCATGGTCAACTAAAGTAAGAGGGATGTTTTATCCCTTGTACCCCACAATTAAATATAATGCATTATTGTGAGTGGTGTCTTTTGATGGCAAATCATCACTAGTAAAGATGATTGATTTGTCAGATTTTTCTCTAGTAAGTAAGCTAACAAGATCCTACAGAGTTGTGTCCGTACTTACAGACAAAGCAGTTAGAGCATTCATTAGAGAATTCCTATGTTCCTTAGAGGTACTTAAGAGTTCCCAAATGCTAACATTCGCCTTAGATTGACGAAGTTGTTTGATCAATGGATCTTCTACCTCAGGTGGAGGTGGAATTGGATTTTGAGTTTAACCTTGATTGGTTGAAGATCCATTTGGTTGTGTTTGATAGACTCGCCCAGAACGAGTTAGGTGATGAATCTCGTTTGGATTAGTCTTAGTACTCGTGAAACAGTTTTCTTCTAGAGGCGTTGAATGTGCCTCCATTTCTAAATGTTGCATGAGTTGTGCTTGATGCCAATGTTTATCTACGAAAAAGTTTGACAAATCTTGTCATTTTCCCAAAAAATGATCCCAATCAAGCGCTCCACTTGTTTCAACTTGGAGACAAGGTGGAGGTGGGATAACGACATATTTTGAGGCATATAGGTCTTTAAAGTCGTCATCCCATAATCCACACACTTTATTAGTTTCCCCTATGAGTGTTATGGTTAGAGGTTTCCCCATGGGAGTGATGTAATCAAAAGGATTGAACTCATCACTCCTCACGTGGTCTTCATCAATATGAAATATTCCCAATGAGGAAACATTATTATTAGGCTTAGGAGTGGGAATTTTCCCATCGTCTACTAGATCTTGAGTCTTGTGTTTTACAACAAAGCAACGTTATGTATCATGCCCAACACCCCTATGATAAGTACAATAAGCACTGTCATCCCATTAAGGATTTCTTCTTTCTATGGGAGGAGGAGGCATTTGCCTAGTTGGTGAGAGTAATCCTTTTTCATTCAAATTTTCCAATAATTCTTTATAAGCTAAAGGGAATTGCGTGAATTTTCTTTCTCTTGTCCACCTTTTTCGAGGATCGTTATTATTATACTGTGTGAACGTAGTAAAAACATCAATAGAGGATGAAGTGTTATCATTCCCCTTCTTGTAGTTGTTCTTAGGTTGATGATGATAAGGCTTGTTTCCCTTTTCTTTGGCAAGATCATCTTCAATCCTAGTGGGCACGGAATAGATCTTTTGAAAAGTGTCTAGACCAAGGTAGCGTAGATGTTTGTTGTACTTTTCATGACAATTGTCAATGAATTTTTGTACTAAATCGAGTTCGGGCGGCCTTTGGGCAAGGTGAGCTGCCTTTTCACGCCATCTACCATAGAAAGTAAGGAAACCTTCATCGTTGCCTTGCTTAAGCATTTCCAGTTCACGCAAAGTTGATTTGAACTCTAACTTACTCTCGTATTGGGTGATAAAAGCCAAAACTACATCTTCCCATGTGTTTTTGAATTTGGCATCTAGACCATAGTACCATTCTCTTGCGGCTGGGTCTAGAGATAAAGGGAATGTCAAAGCATAGAGCTTAGGATCAACTCCCTTTAGAGCCATGGTGCCAGTAAAACTCATTAGATGATTTTTTGGGTTATTGGTCACTTTAAATATTGGTAAGTCTGTAGATACAAACTTTTCAGGTAAAGTAAGTCCCACAGGAGGAGCAAACTTTTATGCGTCAAAGTACTTGTTCCCTATAGTAGAGCGAAGAACAAGTTTCTCCAACGTCTTCTCTCGTTTGGCTAAAGCATCCATTTTTTGTTTTATAGCTAAAGCCTCGGCCTTTTTCCTTTCGGCCTTTTCAATTTTCTTAATTCTTCTAGCCTTGTCTTCTTGAGCCTTTTCCTTTCTCATGCGAATAATCTCTTCTTGGAGTTGTTCGATGGTTGACATTATTGGACTAGGATGAGTTGACAAAAGGAGATGGTTCGAAAGGGGTGGATTGTTTGATGGTAAACGTAGAATGCGAGTGCCCGGGTGTCTTCGTTCCCAAGCTTGGAAACTAGCCCTAAAGGAAGTACGAGAAGTTAAGAAAATTGACACGCTTGCTTTGAAATAAAGAAAAGAAACTAAAGTGAAAGGAAGAAAAAAGACGCAAATTACGTTCAAAGCACTAGGTGAAAAACTTAAATAACCGGTTCAAACCACCCAATGGGCACCGGTTTTGAACCGTTGAGTATTTGAGGGATGCCAAATATTTGAAGATTTGGCACCGTTTCAAAACCGGTAGCTATTTAAAGATTTGGCACCGGTTAACCGGTGCCAAATACCCTCTTTGGCACCGGTTAACCGGTGCCAATTACCCATGGCGCGCTTTTTTTTTTTATTTTTTTATTTCAATACAATAGGCACCGGTTTTGGCTTAGAACCGGTGCCAAAAGTCCCCAAAAAAAATTAAGAAAAAACTTTTAGCACTGGTTCTTTTCCAAAACCGGCGCCAAAAATGCCCAAAAAAAATAAAAAAAAAAATTTTGCATTTTTTCACTTAAATTGTACCAAATACTTATATATAATCATAATATACATAAACACATATTTTCTTCAATAACTTGTAATATTACACTTTAAAAAACTAAAAAAAAAAACACTTGAGATTTCAGTTGAATGCTGAACACATACGGCAACTCGGCAACACATCAGCACTGCAGCAGGTGGCAGCAGCCCCCAGCAAAACAGGTCAACAGGTGGCAACAGACCAACCTGCAGAAAACATTAGGCACCAGCAGTAGCTACACCAAAAGAAAAACAGCAACACCCCAGCAACAGGCAGCCCAACAACAGCAGCTGCAGCTTCAAAAGCCCAGCACTAAACCCCACGCAGGGCACAAGCACAGCAGCACCCTGAAGCCAAAAACAAGGATGCACTTATTATTATTTCAGTAGTCCAAGCAAACCAAACCTGACATGCAATTATATAAGAAGGGATTAAAGATCAACACTATTCATGAAAAGCAAAATGTTAAACTTTAGCCCGGCAGACAATGCTTCTTTACATATGGAGCAACTAGCAAAAAAAAATCCACTAATTCAAACATAAAAAAGGAAGTAAAAATATAAATAAATGTCAAAGTGTACATTTGTAAGTCTCTCTCTTCTATACAGTCATAAATCATTAGAAACTTATAAGTTGGATAACTTTTCATATAGAGTTAAAGTAATAAATATTAAGGTTTAAGTACTAGACAATGCTTGAAGATTGAGGCCTCAAATATTCACAAAAGGTTGAATCATAAATTAAGAGTTAATTCATAGAAAATTAGAGGTTTGGTGGCTTTATAGTCCTGAATAACTCATTCACACAGGATGCTTGATTTATTTTTGTTTCCCCGTTGCTGATAGATAATGAAACTGTGAAACTTCCCATCAACCTACTCAAAGGAGATGTTATAATAGTCCAGAATACCTTTATCACACAGAATGCTAAAGTTATCTATGCTTCCTCATTACTGATGGATAAAGAAACCATGAAACTTCCTATCAACTTAATCATACCTCCATCTAACTTAAAACTGCATAGAAACGATGACACCTAGCATGTATCCATGCCTCCATTGATACAAAAAACATTTTTAAAAGAATGTTTAAAGCTTTCCGGTTCCCTAAATATTCTCCCACAAATACCTTCTTGAATGTGAATTATCACCGACCAAACTAATTTTAGATTAAAAAAACAAACTTCATTAAATACAAATTCATTTAATGCATATATAAAACAAGATACACAAATTAGTTTTCCGATCAACACATTTGTAACCCACCACGATGACAATCTAGATCTACACACCAATCCAAGTTTCAACTTCAATCCAGTTCTCAGCTAATTTAAGAGGCACACACAGTAAGCATAGCTAATTTATGGAGATTTTAGGTTAAAAACTAAAGTTAAGTCAGTATTTGAATATTACATATGTTACCAAGATTGCAAATAACATGATTCTTAGAAACTTACCATATATTCAAATATAAAAAACAACTCATTATTTTCTCGTACTTCTTTCAGCTTTATGATGTTGGGATGACTCATTCTACGGTGGGACTGCAAAAGAAGTAGATAGCTAGTCAGGGCACTATCACAGCATGAAAGTAAATAGTGCTACAAACAAAGCCTGTAGTATTCAATGTTTCACATTAGCCATCAATATATGATATAATACTATCACGAAATCAAAAAAGAAGCAAATACATAAGAAGCAAGTATAAAAAATCCACACAAATCACAACTAACAAAAGAGAGTGCAATAACAGCCTTTTCTAATTTGAAAAAGGATTCACTGTGGTCCATTTAGGTTGAGAAAAAGCAGGTCACAGTAAAGGGTTTCCCATAAAAAAATTGAGTTATTTAGGCTTTAAGCAGCAAAATCTTCCAGAAGTGCTTGTATGCCAGAAAAACAAGTGAAAGAGATATGTGTTCCAGAAAATAACAAAAGGAGCTTAAAGTCCTAAATTTGAAAGATGAACCTATCGATGACTCACTGTCAAAGCAAGAACTAGTAGAAATAGTCCAGACCACTGGTGATTCAACAATGAGAGAGCCTAAAGACTTGTCAGTGGAGTTAAAGGCTACTACTCTACAGCAAAGACCGAGACAAGCACAGAACCAACGAATTATTCTGAGCCTTCCTCACAAACAATAAAATATAAAACCAAGGTGTAGGATTTAAAATCCACTGAGTTCCATGAGCTGACAAAAAGTTCTTAGGCGGCACCAGAGCCTAAAGGTGAGGATCTAGCTAAATCAGTAATGCCTTAGTAAAAAATGAGGCTAATAATAGGCAAAAGTAATGCCAGTATGGCCATATCAATTTAATGAAGCAGAAACTGCTCTAATTTCTCTTTAGTCACATATTAGGCAAGAGATAAGGATTAACGCCCATGCTAAAATAATTCAATTGCTCGAGGATATTAACAACAACAATGATTTAAATCAGAAATAACAACATTATATTTTAAGAATTTTCATCCTTAAGTGAAGCTATCATGTCCTACAGCCACTAATAATAGACATATGGTGGACAAGAATAGTGAAATCTATTCTACAAACATTTTCATGCACAGTATTTATTAAGACAAAGATAGTATAATAGATGTTTCAGGGTTTTCTGATGTCCTGCGGGAGAGTTACAATTCCGAGACTGGAACCGGACGCCTGTACCTGCAAAACAAACGGATGCTCCGGATGATTGGAGATCCGCCTCCGACGGTCAAGTTAGTACTTGATTAAGGAGTAATTAATGCGGAAATTAAAGTGATTGGGTCTCTCTAGGTGAGAGAGTTTAATGTGTGTAATCTGCGTTTTTTTCTCTTAATGAGGATTAAGGGAGGTATTTATAACCTCGGGAAACGTGTCAATCTAGGTTTATGTTAACCTTGGGCTGATTGGGCTTCCCTCGAAAGTTGGGCCTTGGTGACCAGTTATCCCAGGTGTCATGGGAAGGACACGTGTCGTGTCGTAATTGGTCCATAGTGGACGGATCATTGCTTGACACGTGGCAGGCTCCTATTGGCCCATGTGACGGACACATGGCGGAACCTGATTGGTCCACTTGTCAGATGGTGATTGGTGGGAAAAATCCCCTAATCATTTGCCCCTCACAGGTGGCACGTGACTGGTCGCGTGTTACCTGTGACAGGTATCACCCTGTAACAGGCGACGGCCTGCTACAGGTGTCACTCGGCGAGAGGCCGAGAGATTCTCCCGCCAAAATTTTGAATTCTGGAAGTGACCCTTCGCCTTCTCACTTCGCCTATATAAAGGAGTGTTGACTTCGGTCATTTTCACACTTGAAAACTTTGTGAGGGAACATTCGGACCCCTGAACTTGCTCTGACATTTTGGACCCTTTCTACCTACCGCCTGCTCTGACAAGCCGACTGCAAAGGATTTTCAGAACTTCATCAATCGTCACTCGTTCAGGTAACCGTCGGTTCTCTTACTCTTAATTTTCTCTTTACTTTATTCTTTTTTTGAAATGGCACCACGGAAGCACACGACACGACCTAGGTTAGTGATCAGCCGGTCACCGGGGACGGCTGAATCTAGGACTAGGAGTGTCGCCTGCCCTTTTCTGGACCCATCTTTGCCCTTTATACAAAGTCCGACTGTATCTGTGTCTATCCAGAGCATGATGGCCAGAACAAAAAAAGACTGCCAGGATCTCAAACTCAGACGGCTCCTCCCACAGGGTGCCGATTAGTGAAACATCTGACCAGGCGCCAAATGTGGAAGTGAAACAAAGCGGCTTGAAAGCCGGCAGTTCTGAGGGAGGAGTCAAAGTGACCCCTTCCCACTTTACAGTTGACAATTCTACATTCTCTCCTGCTCCTTTTAAAAAAGAGGAGGCGGGCCCCTCCGGGAGAGGGGAGGAGTCGTCCTCTTCGGACTCGTCAGAGGACGATTCCGAGTCTAGCTCTTCTAGCCATGCTTCTCTGGAAACAGAAGAGAAAAACAGTCGCCTACAAGAGGCGAGGCTTTCTCACGCAGTTGAGAAGGGGGACAATTGTGCGGAGCCATCCACCTCTCACCGAGAGCAAAATACCCCCTACTACTGCACGGTACCTCGGGGCCAGATCACAGCCATGCAAGAGAAAGTGGAGAGCTTTATCGCAAACCATACAATGGGCCCCGGCTTTTTAGTGTTCGTGCCGGATCCAGAAGATACAGTCGTATGGCCGGCTGGTACCAGTTATGATGGCGGCTGCTTTGGCTGCTACGAGGCGGCCATCAAGGCTAGGCTGCGCTTCCCACTACATCCGGCTGTTCAGCGGATCTTGGATGGGTATGAGTTGGGGTTATGGCAGTTAGCCCCGGTTGGGTCAACGTACTCGGCTATGTGGCCGGGTGCGAACTGCACGGGGTGGAGCCGAACTTCGAGGCTTTCGCCCACATGAACTACCTCAGTCGGACCCTTAAGGCAGGCGGTACCGGCTGGTATCAATTGACGAGCCACATGGGCTACCTCATGACGAGAGGTAAAGCAAATAAATGGAAGGACTGGCGGAGCACCTTCCTTATTATTGAGAGTTCAGACACAGAGCTGAACAAGCGCTTCAACAGGTGGAACAGGAATCTGCCCCTTCTTGCAGGCGCCCGCAGCATGCCGCCTGTTCCCCCTAAGGCTAAAAAAGAGATCCTAGATAAAGGACTCTTTAAAGTAGAGTCGAAGGTGAACTCTACTTCAGGGGTACGAGCAAGTACCCCTGCACTGCGTCCCGAGCTTCAAATGGCTCTACGACGAGTACCTTTTGGCCGCCTGTGGCCTCAGCAGTCGGTGCTCAAGAGGTAGCCGGCCTGTCGAATACTCTGTTGTTCCATGCATTTCGTGTTATGACTTTTATTAACTTTGCTATTTGTTTTTGCAGCGGACGCCATGAGCAAAATTACCGCCTCCAAGACTGCGGCGGCCATGTTGCGGGCCTCCATCATGCAACAGTCTTCAACCGACTCCCCCAACAAGGGGGCACCCCTGGTGGGCTTCGAACCTTTCACCCTCTTTTTGGAGTTGTGTTTATGCATATACTGACTCTTTTCTTCTTTTTTTAGACGGATGCTCCAAGAGCTTCTTCTTCCCAACAGCCGGACCCCAAGGCCCGGAGGACGACTGTTGCGAGCTCTCCTGGTTCTGCCAGGAAACATGTGGCGGCTGAGAAGCAGCCGGCCACTTCTTCTAAAACTCCAGCTGGGCCACCTAGAAGTATGAAATTATCCTTGTAAATATTTAGACTTGCTCCCTTCTTTACTAGGTCTAATCCGTTTGTTTATGCTTGATGCAGCCGGCCCTCAGGAGCCTGACTTGGTCGAGGTGGCCAAGTTTATGATCAAGGTCGTTCCTCCAGCTGAAAGGGAGGCGGTCAGGGGTGTCGGCACCCTTGACCTAGACGGGATTGCAGGGGTCCTTGCTGAGGTATACTTAGAATATTTTTGAGTATTTGAATTCCAGGACGCCTGTTTTCTTTTTTGTTTGGAAACTGACGCATGTTCCCCTTTTTACTTAGGCCCTGCTCCGAGTGAACGGCCTTCGCAAGCCGCTTGACCGGAAGAACAAAGAGGTAAAGGCTACAAAAGCTATGGCCGCCTCTGACTGTGATAAGGCAATGTTTCAAATTGCCCAAAATGAAGTTCTGACCATTGATATTCTTTATTATCAGGCGCAGGCTACCGCCGCTATCCGGGCTCAGTTAGAGGCGGCCCAGAAGAGGAATAGCGAGCTGGAGGCAACCATCAACAACCTCAAGGCCGAGCTGAGACCTCTTCGCCAAAAGATGTCCTCATACGAAACCTTGGAGAAATCCTTGGCGAGCGTAAAGGTACGCCTGGTGACCCTGGAGAAAAGTCTTACTCAGGAGCTCTCGGAAAAGGCCGAGCAAGAAAAGAAAGAGCTGGTCCGGGAGATGATGGAAGACTCTGCTCAAATCCAGCGCATGACTTGGGGCCGCCTCTTCCCCAATGCCGACTTTGCCTCATGGGAAAAAACGTACCGCCAGTGTTCTGATAGATATAATCAAGAGATCCTGGCGGCTGCTGAGGAAGAGGCGTTGGAGGAGGAGGAGCAACCGGTAGTGGCGCTTGTGCCGCTTGGGGGTAATGCATCAAAGAAGGATGCAGCTGAAGCCGAGTCCAGCAGGAAGAGTGCTGACCAGGCGACAGTTGCTAATATTGAAGATTTGCCCCCTTCTTAAGCTTTATGTCTTCTTTCCACGGCCTGCGTGCCGTTTGTTTGTATTTACCTGGCCAGGGGGCCGGGGCTCTGAATATTTTGCCGGTCTTTAATGACCGGCTTCTTTTTAATGAATTTTTTTGTTTTGCTTCAAATTTGTTCAAGTATTGAATTATTCTGAAATCCAATTGTACACTATACCGACTGTTTTACATGGCCGATAGTTGCAGACAGGTACGGATAGTTAGTCATGCCGCCTATGCCCCTGGACGACTGGTTGTCTGTTTCCAGGCTAGACGATCAGTCGGCCATTTATCCAATCGGTATTCGAACCATCTCAAAGACTGGATCCCCTTTAAGCAGGCGGTTCTGTCCTTTGTAAA